AACTTCATATTAATAGACCATGTTGTGTTACGTTAAGGTTTCTAGGTCAGAGTAACCTTCATTGCTCCAGATACTGTAAGACATCGATCGATATCATACTGGATGCTGATATTATTCTTTATCAAACCAATGGGCGTTTAGTTCTTATTTGGAGGGGAATTTATGCTTTAAATTAATTAACAATTAAAAACTATGATAAATTTTATACATAATTTTATTATGGTATCAAAAATGTCCATAGAAGGGATGTAACCTATTGTAATGCTTATACATAACTTCAGAGATGTTAACGTGTATGTACTGTACTGTACAGGAAAACCTGTGTAAATCGGAATCGCGTAATACTGAATATTTTTACCATTTTTGATAGGTTTTACTGTATATTCTTTCACTTTCTGTGACTCATAATTGCATCACGACTGCATATGTATGGATGCCTTTGAATTACCCTGTATTAATGACTATTATATTAATAAGAATGAGATTATATGGACTTAGGATACTAAAAGAGAGGAGAGAATCAATAAAGAAAATTTACGAGGACATTTAATAGAGGGGAGAACAAAGGATTTTTCTCTTTATTCTCCTTATCTAAAGATTGAGGTAGCAAAAGAAGAAATATGATAGGAAAGAAACTGAATTGATGGAACACTTTGGGCGATCTGCCAAGAGGGAATCCTTTAATGGCACCTATTTAGGCGTTACTAACGTGCAGAAAACCTGCTGTCAGATCGTTGACGGGTGCGAACCCACGACCAAACACCAATGTTCACTGGTTTATCCACTCATGGATGGACCTGTAAGAAGAAGAGAGAGTAACAATTAATCACTGCAGTTGACCTTAAATTTTGAGATAAAGCAGGGACGAAGAAGAAGAAGAAGAAATTAACAATATCTTCTAGTTCCTTTTCTTCTTTCCTTATAATATAATAGGCATAATTATATTTTATTTCCTGCATTCCTAGAACGTAACACAAGATGACAAATATCCAATACTCGCTTTGAGTGACATATCATTTTTATAACCGATATTCTCATCTTAATAAATGATATATGATCCTTAAAGAAAAATGTATACGCGACAAAAGACTTCAAAGGGTATTTATCAAAAATAATTTTATATTTTAGACATTTTTTTTTTTCAATTAGAAAATCTTTAAAATTGTTTGATACATTGCCCATCTGCCTGCACTGTTTAATATCTTGTAACGTCCAAAAAAAGGAGTGTAGAAGTAGAGTCGCCTCTGAAATCGACACTATATCGAGTGTGGCGCTAAACCGGAGTACCTCAAACAATAAGAACTATATACGATAATAAACTGTGGAGTATTTATAGGGTGTGTGATGTGGGTGTTGGATCCCCCCAGAGGCTTTATGGTGCGCTTAATGTTTTCTTCTATTCTGACTGTACTTTTTACATCGTCCTCCCAGATCACCCCCGATAATGCGTAAGCAGTTTAAGAGTTTTAGTCCCACGATTTTGGTTGATAACAATGCAAAATCGTAGTCTTAGTAATTGTTCTTTATTTAATATTTTACGGGAAAGATCCGCTCACCGGTACTTACTAACGCTTTTACGAGTGACGCTATATCGAGGTTTGACTGTACATTTAAACCTATTGAATTTTGTTAAGCTTTAACATCGTGTACGTCGCTTCTGTGTAAGTTAAAACCCTTTTATAACGTTCTTTTATACTTCTGTGTAATATAAAAGAACTTTCTTCGTGTTAGGCGCCGTCCATTAATAATTACATGTACAGTTTTAAACGGAAAGTACATCGTTGTACACAACAGGAAGGGAAGGGGTTAATGTATTTATAGTTATAAAATAAAATAGATGACCCCTTCCTCTCTGTTGGTACATAAAAGAGGAGTGACCCTCCCTCTTTTTTTGTGTGCCAACAGGGAGGGATGGTTCAAAAGTGGCTCAAAAAATTACACACACAATTAATTACAGTTTCACTCAAAAAATAATTACATGTACAGTTTTAAACGGAAAGTACATCGTTGTACACAACAGGAAGGGAAGGGGTTAATGTATTTATAGTTATAAAATAAAATAGACAAAAAAAAGTATAAATGACTCACCTTTTTATGGGCGTATTTTTTTCACCAGGAAATCAAATTACATTATTAAAATGTTATCTTGATAATAAATAAATATCTTCCTGTTTATAAAATAAATATTTAAATTAAATTATACGGTAAATAGTAACAGAATAGCACAAATTATCGCTCATCCTTCAAACGCTTCGCGTCGCGCGTCGCGTCGCTTCGATCGCGTGGGCGCATTGATAGCAAATATGGCGTCTCTGATGATTTAGGTATGTCAAATCCGAACGTCTTTACTAAACGTTCCATTAATAGAAGCTAATCACCTTAAATCACCTTTCTTGGATGATTTAAGATGAATATCTTGTTTACAAGAAAAAATAAAAACTTCAAAAGCGGTTTTAGTTCTTCATTTTCAAATGTAATTTAATTAAATTGTGATTTAATACGAACGTTTTATAAATTAAATCATATAAATGCCCAAAAAATAAAAATCATATTTATAAGCTGGTTTCTAGTTATTTCACCATATAAAGAATCTATGTAGCTCAGCAGATGTTTCCAGCGTAGTTAATCTGAGTCATCCGCCATATTGGCACTCGAGCCTCTGATGGGTCATATAATAAACTTCAATTTCAGTTATGTTTATTACTTTTATTCACGTATTTAAAAAACGTCTTTATCTAGTTTGAATCTTGCCGGTTTGCTTTTAACTATAATTAACTGGACACTGTTTTTAGAAAAAAAAAAGCTTAAATAAACATTCTTTAGAGTGCATACAATTCTCCGAAAAAAAAAAGATATTTATCGCGAATATTACATTAAACATTTACTAATTACTCTTCTAAAACAATTCTTAAGCTGTCGTCCGTTAATTACGTGTACAATTTGAGGAGATCGCATAATTGTACACAACAGGGAGGGGAGGTCGAGGCATTGTTATAGGTATTGTTACATGGATTAAACTATCGCACATGTGTATACAATGCAGTTTTGACCCCTTCCTCTCTGTTGGTACATAAAAGAGGAGTGACCCTCCCTCTTTTTTTGTGTGCCAACAGGGAGGGATGGTTCAAAAGTGGCTCAAAAACTGTAAATGATCCTCTAATCTAGTGCTCCCGAGCATCTCAGTGCTCTGCAAAATATATATTTTGCTTTATATCATCACAGTAAAAATCTCTTCCATTCTACTCATGAGACTTGCCTCCTCTTTGAATGTGATAAAGTTGGCTGCCAAATGTATATTTTCACAGTCTTATTAATCTTACACTTTTGTACTCAATAACATGGCGAATCACTTGAATTTTATTGATGAAATTCCTACAAACATTGGAAATTTCTCTTCAGAATGGAGGATCTTATTGAGAAGAGAGGTACTTTTTTCAATATAATTTATATAAAGTTTAATAAAGTTTACAGTTTATTTGAACTTTAACCTCAATAATTTTATACTCATTCTTGAATGTAAGTACGTAAAAATTGCTTATTTAGGTGAAAAAGATTAAGAAGATCTATTCTACTTTTTTAATATACTATCAAAAGATTCAGCAACGAGTTGCGTAACTTTCCCGGTGAAAAATGTTTATGTTTAAGAAACACAATAGCAAAGTTTATCAACTTTAATATCTCACGAACCAATGATCCGATTTTAGTGAAATTTTCTAGAAATATTTTCCCCTAATACGCAAACCTCCCTGCAAATTTTCAATAATTTTCGACAAAAGGCACAGGAGTTATCAAGCTTCAAAGCGAGTGAACAAAATCGTGCCCTCCCCCACATACACACCCATACATACAGGGAAAAAACCCCTGTATTTAAAATATTAATAAAAATATATGATTTTTTAAAGTGATGCAAACACATTAAAGAGTGATGACTCCATTAAATTAACAGGTGCGAAAATAAAATTTCGAAATTAATTTTTAAAACGTATTCGCAATTTTTCAATGCTAAATAACTAAGATTCATCATCTTCAAGGATAAGCTATTCGATATATTCTACATTTCAATGACGGAAAATATAAAAAAAATCGTTGATATTTTATTACCTACCATTAAAATGTTTGCCCGGAGATGGCATTTTGCAGTTGTAGACTCAAAACACAACACAGCATCCACACCAACATGGCTCCTAAGGTTTGTTTTCTTTATCTTTTTTTTTTCTTGTATAATTAAGCAAATATTTCATTAATTATTCTTTAAAATGGATGGATTTCGTTTATCTTACCTTAACAAAAGTCTCATACTCCTTAAAGACTTAATTATATACAGCTAAACCTTGATATAGCGAAAACACTATATTAAATTCGTTATATACGTAGCAGCAAGGAATAACGAAATTGTTCGCTATATCGGGTGGGGCAATATATGTAAATTATAGTACGATAAAATGGCTAATTTAAGGGTGTAATTAGCTATTTTTATTCGTAAATTAACCGATTTTTTCTTAATTAAATAATTAACTTTTAAAAAGGTGTAATTGGTTGTAATATGCCCGTATAATTTAATTAAATTATTTAATTTTTATTTAAAAAAAAGTTGTATTCAGTATTATATTTTTGCATTATATTTCAAGAATGTCCTTTAAAATTCCTATTGAATTACGTGTTAACATCTGTGTTTTGTTTAGTGTATCTAGCGTAGAATATATAGGAAATAAATATATATATATATATATATATA